GGGGGGCTATAAACCACATCGATTGCCGATGTAAACACTCAAATGAAAGTGGTAAGTCAGCACTTTCTCCTCCAACCTTATTGTTTGTGATCTGGCACCACGGACGAGAATATATTCATACATTTGACTGCCCTCATGAAAGAAAGAAACGAATGAAACTGCTTCAAGGACCCGCTTTTGTGCTAGATTGGTTGTTCAGGTGTAAATAGAGGAAATGATGCTGCAATTGTGCTGCGCGTGTGTGTGGCCGCTTAGGTACAGCTATAGGAGCATCTGGAACAGAAAACCCGCGCACCGGGGTTCAGGGCAAATTGGCTCCCTTTTGTCTCCAGTTTAATTACGTGATGCTAAAAACTCTAAGGCTGCACAGGGAGATGTTAACAGGGCTGCTATTATTGAAAGGGATTAATAGGCAAGAAGTGGCTGAAGAAAAAAAAAACACGGCGAAGCAGCGTGTTGCAGGTTTTGATGGCAAAACCTGATTTTATACACCAGGTTGTATTTTCTGTTCAGTTGTAGGAAGCACGCAGTGGGTGGAGACGTGGCATGACATGGTCACTGCATACTGAGCATGATGTGTGGTGTTGTCCCTCGACTTAGGAGTTGAATTTGTTCCGTGACCAAGCTCCTAACTCAAGTTACTGGTATCCTGAAAACATGTTCCCTATTGGAATGAACCTAATTTTTATCAAGCCAAACATTTACACTTGCCTGCCAGCAGTCCAGACCCGTCTCCCAATTGAAATGTGCGGTGCATTATAAAGTCTAAATTACGGCCTCCGGACTGTTGAGGAACTGAAGGTGTACATCGAGCAAGAATGGGAAAGAATTCCACCTACAAAGTTTCAACAATTAGTGTCCTTAGTTCCGAAAAGCTTACAGAGTGTCGTTGAAAAGGAAAGGTGATGTAACACAGTGTTAAACATGTTTTTGTGGAAACTGTTGCAAGCATCAACTTCAAAATGAGTGAATAGTAGCCAAAAAAAAAAAAAATTCAGTTTGACCAATAAATATCTTGTCTTTGCAATTCATTCAACTGAATATAGATTTTAATGGATCTACAAATAATCCCATTGTGTTTTTATTTTTTGACACAGGTGTTGGGAGTTAAGCGCTTCGACTTTTGAGTACCTTCCGTGGGGTTCATGGCGTCTGGTAAGCTGTCCCATGGGAGCGTCCATTCCGGGCAAGGATGATGAGCGAAGGCCGCCTCAATGCCATTTTCCTTTGGCGACATAAAAAAATAAATAAATAAATAAACGGTTACCAAGGAAACCAATTGAAACTCTCGAAGCTTGAGCTACCCCCAAGAGGAAATATCCTTCTTTCATAAAAATGGGATGATAAAATGTTTACTTTATTGTGTTCTACCTGTGCTTGTTGTGCATGTTTGGTGGGGGGAGGCCTAGCAATTTTGTCTCGTTAGCTTCGGTCCTTTTGTATTTGTATTAAACTACCCATTTCACTTGAGTTGAATTGGAAAATCCGAACAGCACTATTCAGTTTTGTTTATTATGTTATTCTATCTGAAGGTCCCTGAAAGAAAGTGGAAGCTCACAACACTCTCTAACGTGATGTAACCAGATGCCAATGGCCATCTCGAATTAAAGATCTTGCTCACCTTACTGGCCCTGCACGGGCATTTGTTTTCGATGAATTGCAACATGGCGTCTATTTCAATGAAGGTGACAAATACAGTAAAACGTAAGGGCGAATTCAGCCGCAAAACACCATTCTGAATTGAAAAACGTTCAAGGTTGGCGGTTGCATTATTTTCACAAAAGAGCCACCCAAGCATTGATCCATTTTCGACCACTTCACTTGTTCAGGGCCGCAGGTAAGATGGAGCCTATCCAATCAGAATTTTGACGAGAGAAGCGAAGGTGCACCGCAGAGTGGTCGGCAACTGGTAAAGGAGAACATACCACCGTTCATGCTCGACATTTGCAAGCCAATGCAAGTAGGAGCCGAGATTCCAACTGAGACATTTTTGATTGTGGTGCAGGCGAGCTGCAGCCCAATAAGGCTAGCGTTGGGCAAACTACACACCACGCTGGTTGGCAGCCAATCACGGGTCAAAGATTGGCTGTCTCATTCAGTTACTCTGCGGCGACTGAACCCAACACAGAAGTCAAGCGAGAAAGTCACTTTTCAATAATGACTTTAACTCTTGAGCGCCGTTGACGTCAGAACTCGGCAAGTGAAATCCTAACGTGGAACGCCAGCGACGGAAACTGACGTCAACCACGTTTTATTACGGGAACGGCCGGACAGAAGCGTTAAAGCTTGTGATCGATCAACGTGCTTGTCACGATAGATCTACCACAAAAAGTGAAAAGGTGACGGAGATTGTTGAAATTGAGAAGTAGAAGAGACGAAGCGCTGACGGCTTTCGTCATGCCAGTGTAATCGTCGCTAACCAGGTCAAATATTGACGGTTGCCCGTTTTTGCTGACGACCGACAGAAACACGTCGCGCCTGTCTCGTGTGTTTTGTATCGCCCGGAACCGTCTACTGGTGGTCGGGTTTCTGACATTTACTTTACCGTTGACGTGCACTTGAGTAACTTTAAGGCAGTTGTGCTTTGCGAAAGGCACATCGCACTTTAGCTTCTTTTAATTAAGCGTGGGATAATCCCATCCTCTTTCTATTTGGCACTCGTTCCTCCTGGCTCACGCTTATTTACTGAAGTAACGGTCCGCGTGGAGAAATAAATCACCATAAAAATCCCCACAATACAGTGAAAAGTCCAACGATGTGTATCTGTTGACCAAAAAAAAAAAAACCACGAAGAGCGAAGCCGCAAAAAAGTGCAGCGAGCTTTCGCAAGGGACTGCTGTACTTGAACTAAACTCCTCGGGGGGAATGGTATCTTGACATCATGTGATACATTTGGAAAACATCGGCGCGATTAAGTCACTGAATTAAAAATAACTTCAATCGCGGAGGGAGTAATTCAAAACAGAGCTCGACTCCTACATTTGGAGAGTTGGCTGGCAGTTTTGTTTTCATTTGGATGGCTGCCTGTCGACTGCATTTGGCACCTATCGTCAGGGTGTGTTAAGTGAGGTGAGCAAGAGGTTATTAGGCATTTATCGAGAAACCAGAGGATCCCCGGCTAGCGACAGGAAGTATCGTGTCGTCTGCGCGCCCTCGTGTACATATGCCGCAGGACACACACATCGGGGATGAATGCTCGCATACACGCGAGGACTCATTCACTTCACACTCACATGACAACAAACACACGCACATTCAGATTGACTTTTGCTCTTTGTATCCAATTAGTTTTAATTGGTTTTTAGAGCAAGGTTGTTACTTTTTGTTTTTATTTTGGGGAAAGTGCTTAATTTTAGTTTTATTTAGTTTTTTTTTTTTTTTAATATACAGGATAACGTATTTGAGTTTTGTTTTTTTTTCATACAGTATGATGTATTTGTCAAGTGCAAGATCAAAACAAAAAGTTCACAAAGTTCCTGAAATAAAGTAAACTACAATTCCCAAACTACCGTTTGACCTTGCCTCTTCTGTACGGATGGACAGCAATACCCCAAAACAAATGAAATAAAAATAAAACCCAAAAATGTTTTCTTTTTGCCATAATTAGATACTTTTACTTTCATTTAAATGTCGTTTTTCTAAAACAATTTCCGTTTTCATTTTATTGAATAGATATGGGTTATTTTTTCCCCCGCTTTTTGTTTCATTCTCACGCATTCTTTCACATTACTCAATGATTCACTCAATCTCTCTCTCTCACAAACACACACACACGCACACACACACACACACACACACACACACACACACACACACACACACAC